AAAGGAAGCTTTTGAAATGAGAATGCCTCGCATGACCGGCATATTGATGAAAATTTCAATCCCCCCCCCAGATACGTGAGGTGTTCCTTTTGTCTTGCCACTAGAAGGGTTTTCTTCCTATACCTGAGATCTAAGAAGGATCTAAGAAGGACACTATGACGTCTCGAGAGGATCTAGTCTCTGCTACTTGTTTCGTTTCCGTGAGAGATTTCTGCATCGTGCCTAGTTGTTCGTACAGAGGTTTAAAGTGGGCTGACATGTTCTCCAGTATTGTTTTCTCCATAAGAGCTAGTGCCTTCGTCAGCTCTGCATGTGTTACCGGAGATGAGGCCTTGTCGGCCTCCTCTGTTCCAGGCGCCATTTTAGCTGGATACAGTAAGCGCGGGCCGGATTTTCCCGTCCCTGGCACTGAAGTAAGGATGGATTTTATCTTTTTGTGTTTAAAAGGATTCGATTGTTGGATCGACCCTGCAGCTTTATCCATCTATTGAAGCGTTGATCTCAGCAATTGATCGCAGATGGGGGTGGATAAGGAGAAGGGTCGGGCGGAGCGAAAGGCTCAGGCGGCCATGTTGTTTCGTGCCTCCCCAGAAGTCCGCCACCCGGCACCACTTTAACTGTTCAAATGGGACGTTGGGATTCTTCTGCCAGGTATCCTGTTCAGGCAGACAAGAGTTCTAAAGATCAGGGCCAGAAGCATCTCCCTACCCCACCCCCTTTTTTAAAACGTCTGGCCTGATCGAAGAGTTTTGGAGAACTTTGCATCACCAGGACGTAGATACTTTCATCCGTAAAACAATGCTCCCTCGAAGCAGTGGTGTTCTGTGAGCAAAATATCTAGCAGTGTTCCCTCTAAGCTGAGTTAGTGTGAGCTAGCTCACAGTTTTTTAGCCTCCAGCTCACACGTTTTTGTCTTTGCTCAGGAAGGATGGCTCCAGAGCAAACTAATTTATGCAGTAGCCAGATTGCTCGCTCACAACTTTAATGCCAGTAGCTCACAAAGTAGAATTTTTGCTCACAAGACTCCACAGCTTAGAGGGAACATTATTGGTGAGCTACTGGCATTCAAGTTGTTTGGTTGCTGCATGAATTAGTTTGCTCTGGAGCCATCCTTCCTGAGCAAAGACAAAAACGTGTGAGCTGGAGGCTAAAAAACTGTGAGCTAGCTGACACTAACCCAGCTTAGAGGGAACACTGCTCCCAAGTATAACAAATATATGATGCAGTCTAAATGCAGCAGGCACAGAAAGAGAGTTCTGTTAAATCCCCATGTGGGAGCACATCCAGCCGGTACTGAAAGCACTGCACTGGCTGCCAATAGCACACCAGATTTGTTTCAAGGTGCTGGTTTTAACCTTTAAAGCCCTATACGGTCAGGTCTGGCATACCTGAGGGACCACCTTTCCCCACAGGTAGGAGGTGATGGGAAAGACCTCTGCCTGAGACCCTGGAGAGCTGCCGTCAGTCTGAGCAGACAGTCCTGCCCTTGATCGATCAAGTGCCTGATTCTGTAGAAGGCAGCTTCATGCATGTTCATATGTGTGTGTGTGTGGGGGGAGGGGGTTAGCGTGTCAGACCTGGATCTTGGGAACCCAGGTTCAAATCCCCCCTCTTCCAGGAACCTTGCTGAGCGACCCTAGGCCAGTCACCGCCTCTTAGCCTACTCTACCTCACAGAGTTGTTGTGAGGATGAAATGAGAAAGAGAGAGCCCCGTCGGCCACTCTGAGTTCCTTGAAAGAACGGCAGGATAGAAACCGAGGAGATAAGAATGTTGGGGGTCAGAGGGAGACATTCAAGGGCTAAAGATCATAACTGAAGAGCTGGGAAACCACCCCAAAGGGATTTCACACTGCCAGTAGAAGGATGTAACTGCTCTGCACACGTATAAATTTTTTTACACCAAGTGACAGTCCCTTAATGCTCTGTCCCTGTACAGAGGGCAATTTTGCATCTGGCATTCGCCCCACATTTTCTCAACACTGAGAAATACCCCGGGGCAATGCACATACTGACTGCAAAATCACCCCTGAACGGCCACAAGTCTATACAGAAGGTACCATAAAACCCGATGCTCAAAGAAAGCGAAAGCGGCACACAGTGTAGAGGGTACCATAAACCAGATGATCAAAGAAAGCAAAAGCGGCATGCAGTGTAGAGGGTACCATAAAACCCGATGAGCAAAGAAAGCAAAAGCGGCATGCAGTGTAGAGGGTACCATAAAACCTGATGACCAAAGAAAGCGAAAGAGGCATGCAGTGTAGAAGGTACCATAAAACCCAATGATCAAAGAAAGCGAAAGTGGCATGCAGTGTAGAGGGTACCATAAAATCCGTTGATCAAAGAAAGTGAAAGCGGCATGCAGTGTAGAGGGCACCATAAAACCCGATGCTCAAAGAAAGCGAAAGCGGCATGCAATGTAGAGGGTACCACAAAACCCGATGCTCAAAGAAAGCAAAAGCGGCACACAATGCAGAGGGGGGATTTCTGTTCCAGGTTGGGTTTGGTAAAACAACGGAGGAAGAAGCCAGTGCAGAATCGCCCAGGGAGTCCAATGTCCATCTTGTGCCGCGTTTCCTTTCATTTCCTCTTCTGACTATAGTTCTTACAAAGTGTTGTTCAGTCCACAAGCTCCCCTCAACAAAGCCCAGGCACGGAGAGGCAGGATTTAGCAGTAGGGCCGAGTAAAACCGACAAAGCCTTGGGAAGGCTCAGGGGAGAGAAATCCGGGAGCTTGTAGAGAGGAAGAGGGGTTCCCTGTTACAGCATGTCACGGCCACAGGAGAAATGCAATCACGGGGGGAAATATACCGCAGCTTGTATTCCTTCATGCAGATATTTTCCCTCACTTTAATTTCTGCGTTTTGGAAGAGCAGTTGTGCTGGAACAGAGGTGCTTCGGGAAGGCCTACAGGCAGGGCCACGGAAGCCAAAGCCCCCCCTCCCATCCCCCACTGGCAGTCAGAGGGCTTCTGCTGTGATCATGACTCAGGATTTCAGGCAGCTACATCTTCAGATGTCCTTGTAATTACTCTGCGTTCTTTGTTGGATCTGGAAAGGCCCAAGTCAGCTACCCTAAGGTCTCCCAAAGCTGCCTATGAGCTGAGCCGGACATTCCACATCAAAGTGAATTGCAGAGTAAGAAATAAAACTCCTTCCAGGATCTGTCCGGTGAGACACCAGACATTCCCCCTCCCCCCTTGAAGGCATCTTCTGTTTCAGCTGCACAAAGATTCCTTCCCCGATCAGTTGTAATTCCAGGGGATCCCCAGGCCCCACCTGGAGGCGGTGGGAACTCGAGCTGCAGTCTCAGAAGAGTCAAACAACAACTATATACACGGCAAAAACCTTATTTATAAGTTAAAGTGTTCTATATGTCCCATCTTATAAAGTGCATTGTGTATTATTCATAATATTCTAAAACAGGTATATATTCACTACATGCAATATCAACAATAATAATCAGTTTGTACAATCTAATGGCTACCAGTCAATTTGCATCCTTTTTACACAGTCAACCCCAACGGGAGTTTCTAGAATTGTACACCCGCTTCTCCTTGCTTGAAAGTCTTCTAAAGGGGGAAGTTTCCTTTTGTGGTTACATTGAACTTTAAATTGATGTTTGTTGCTGGTCCTACAAAAGGCTGTTAAAAGACATAATTCATGAGTCTAAAAATTATATAATATATCTAACATAACTTGGCTTCATGTAGTTTTCCTACCCCACTTTAACCTATAAATAAGGTTTTTGCAGTTGTATATAGTTGTTGTTTGACCCACCTGGAGGCGGGCAACCCTCGCTGCCTCAGAACTGTGTAAGCTGAGTAGACCTGTCCGTTCAGAGTCATCTAGATGCCTCAATATGGTCTAGCTCCTTGCCATGCCATTTGGCACACAACGCCTGTTCATTTCGAGCATCTCCGCCCCCGCTTTTCCCACGGTCTGTGAGGTTTCAGTGCCTCAATGTGGCCTAGCGCCAGTAAGCCCCCCCTCACACCACCACGCCCCTCTTCCCATCCGACCTGACTCCCTGCCCGGAAGCAGAGATGCTGACTTAATTTATTGTAAGCCTTTCTCAGAGGGCTCCCTGTGGAGGAGAGACAGACAGACAGACAGACTGAAGGCTCTGCCTGACATGCCTCGTATAGCGCAGGCAGGTTGACGTGGGATTGTAAATCCACCTTCCTGCTTGGCCAGCGATCCATTCAGAAAACCCAGCGGCAGCATCTTCGGGCCTGCCCTTCCGTCTTTTCCCCTGCGTCAGAAATCTGATCTACAGCACCGTTCGAAACCACCTGAGAGGCACGCACCGACGGTGGGGCCGGCAGGCGCTTTGGGTGCCACATGTGAATTCAGACTCGAGAGCAGTGTTCCCTCTAAGCCGAGTTAGTGTGAGCCGGCTCACCGTTTTTTTTAGCCTCCGCCTCACCCATTTTTTGGTCTTGGAGGGCTCCAGAGCAGACTGATTGACGCAGCAGCCAAATCGCTCGCTCCCGACTTTAATGCCAGTCGCTCACAAGGTAGAATTTTTGCTCACAAGACTCCATAGCTTAGAGGGAGCATTGCTGGAGAGGGCATAAGCCGGTTGTCGTGTTGACATCCCCGGTCTTGGCCCTTCCCTGAGGATGGCCTTGGCCAGACTGACAGGCTCTTGGGGCCAGCGGCCCCAGGAGCCTGTCAGTCTGGCCAAGGCCATCCTCAGGGAAGGGCCAAGACCGGGGATGGGGTTGTTGTCACCGCTGCCCTCCCTCCCCAAATATCTGCCCATCGTAGAGGACACGATTCTCCTTGCGGAGACCTTCACACCCACCCAGCCCCCAGAGCACGGGGGGATATATCTCCACAGATCGCCCTGCGCCACAGACATCGCCAGAGGCCCCCCCTGTCTCCTGGGATGAGAGAAAAGCCTGACTCACCGCATCCGTCGCCGGTCTGCTCAGCTGCTGGTGCTGTCAAACATGAGAGCTGCCCAAGCGTCTCTGCCGCATCCCCTGGTCCTCTAGGAGGCCTTCCCCGCCCTGCCGGACGCTTTCACTGGGCAGGCCGAGAAAGAGAAGGGAGCTGTCCTCCGATCCGGTCTGGTCTTCATCAGGAGGTCTGGTCCCCCCCTTCCTTCTCTCTCTCTTAAATGTACGCCCGGTTCTTCGCATCCATTCATCCCTGTTGATCCGGCATCCTTTTGCTTCTGCGCGGCATTGGGATTTGTCTGACACTGTCTTTTTTTTTTCTCTCCCCCCCCAGCTGCAAACTGTCTTAGGCTTAAACCCCCTTAACACCACTTAATTGCATTGCTTTTGTGTGCTAGGAATGGGGAAGGAGAGAGAGAGAGAGAGAGACTGTGATGTGTGGGTGGGAGGGGAGGAGGGGGTTGGGGAAATGCAGGCCCCCCCCTCCTCCAGGCTTGGCAGCCTCTGATTGGACAAGGGACTGAGATGGTTCTTCAGGCGGCCTCATCCTGGGGAAGGTGTTCAGTGCCCTTTGTGACAGTGACGTTGAGCCTCGTGCTTGGGGGAGCGTCTGGAGAAAAAGAGGGTGCCTATTAATTCATTAAAAAAGAAAGAAAGAGATCCGGTTGCCTCACTCTCCAGAAGCAGAAAGGATAATCTCATCCGTTCTTCAGGCTTCTCTGGGGCTTTGCCGGAACACACTGACACACCTATGCGCGCGCACACACATTCCCCCCCCATGAGACTGTATCTGTATCCAGACCCTGCTTTTGGGATATGAAGGTAACATCTGGAAAACTCAAAGCAAAAAACGACAGATGCTGAGGGAGCGAAGGATATGCGTGTGTGTTGGACCGCGCTGTAACTGAAGAGATGCTGAATCAGAAGGAAGGAAGGAAGGAAGGAAGGAAGGAAGGAAGGAAGGAAGGAAGGAAGGAAGGGCCAAGAATGTGGACCCTTTTGAATACCCTTCCAATTTTCTCATAAAAAGATAAAATGGGTAGTGGGATGCAACAGTCCATGCTGTATTGTCATGCAGGGGGTGGTGACAGTAGGTAGATCTCCCCCCAAAACCCCCAATTTTATTTGTTCATTTCCCCCGGCATCAGTTGATTGCAGATAGATGAAATCCCTTCATATATGAAGAAGAGAAGAGATTGGATTTATACACCACCCTTCACTTGGAGTCTCAGAGCGGCTTACAAACTCCTTTCCCTTCCCCTACCCACAACAGACACCCTGTGAGGTAGGCGGGGCTGAGAGAGCTCTGAGAGAAACTGCTCTTTTTCAAGAACAGCTCTTCTCAGAACTATGGCTTGCCCAAGGTCATCCAGAGAGGTGCAAGTGGAGGAGTGGGGGATCAAACCTGGTTCTCCCAGATTAGAGTCTGCGCGCTTAACCACTACACCAGACTGGCTCTCAGGGGTGTAGGGTTGCCAGATCCAGGTTGGGAAATGCCTGGAGAGTTGGGTATGGAGCCCGGGGAGGACAAGGACCTCAGTGCTGTACAAGGCCTCAAGGGGCTTTGGCACATGCGGAATAATGCACCTTTAATGCACTTTAGCAATCCTTTGCAAGTGGACCGTTCGATTTCACACAGTGAATTCCAGTTGCAAAGTGCACTGAAATTGAATAATTATTCAGCATGTGTGAAAGCGGTCATAGAGTCCACCAGTGTTCCCTCCAAGCTGAGTTAGTGTGAGCTAGCTCGGTTTTTTAGCCTCCGGCTCACGGATATCTGTTTTAGCTCCAGAAGGAGGGCTCCAGAGCAAACGAATGTATGCAATTGCCAAATCGCTCGCTCACAACTTTAATGCCAGCAGCTCACAGAGTAGAATTTTTGCACACAAGACTCCACAGCTTAGAGGAAGCATTGGAGTCCACCCTGCAAAGCATCCATTTCCTCCAGAAGAACTAATCTCTGTTGCCTGGAGATGAGCTGTAATTCTGGCAGATCCCCAGGTCCCACCTGGAGGTTGGCATGAATCTGAATCTGGCTTAAGCATAGGGTTGCCAGCCTCCAGGTGGGGCCTGGGGATCTCCCGCTTTTGCAACTGATCTCCAGCTGACAGAGATCAGCTCCCCTGGAGGAAATGGCTGCTTTGAAGGGGGGACTCTAGGGCATTGTACCCTGCGGAGGCCCCTCCCCTCCCCAGACCCCGCCCTCTCCCGGATCCACCCCCCAAAGTTTCCAGGTATTTTCCAACCCAGACCTGGCAACCAGTGTTCCCTCTAAGCTGAGTGAGTGTGAGCTCAGGAAAGACGGCTCCAGAGCAAATTAATTTATGCAGTCGCCAAATCGCTCGCCAGCCTCTAGGTGGGGCCCTGAGATCTCCAGCTTTTACGATTGATCTCCAGCTGACAGAGATCAGCTCCCCTGGAGAAAATGGCCACTTTGAAGGGGGGACTCTATGGCCAAACCCTCCCTCTCCCGGCTCCACCCCCAAGGTCTCCAGGTATTCTCCAACCCAGACCTGGCCACCAATGCTCCCTCTAAGCTGTGTAGTCTTGTGAGCAAAAATTCTACCTTGTGAGCGACTGGCATTAAAGTTGTGAGTGAGCAGAAGGGGGGACTCTATGGCCAAACCCTCCCTCTCCCGGCTCCACCCCCAAGGTCTCCAGGTATTCTCCAACCCAGACCTGGCCACCAATGCTCCCTCTAAGCTGTGTAGTCTTGTGAGCAAAAATTCTACCTTGTGAGCGACTGGCATTAAAGTTGTGAGT